GTGGTGTTTTATTTGAATCCATGAAACAAAATGTATTTGACTGTCCATCTACAGGAGTGTGACAGTTGTACTACTGCTTCCAGAGTCGCCTACAAACACAGAGTGACGTCCAGAGCTCTGCTGGAGCTGAGGGGAAGTTCATGAATGTTATAGTTGATGTTTCAGAAAAAAGGAAGATGTTTGAGAACCAACAAAACACAGAGCACAGATGAACAAAGTAAGTAACTCAACTAAAATGATTTCAAACGAATTGTTCAAAATGTACTTCCTATTGAAACAGTTTTCATGTTTCTACAGGGTGATGTGGCACTAGGAGGACTTTATACCAGATGCCCTCCCTGTTACTGTGTTTAGAAGAAGAAAAGCAGCACACGGTGAGTTTTGTTTCTGCAGATACAGTTCTAATGTTCTTGTGATTCTGTTCTGGTCCATTATAGGTACTTTGAATGTATTTAAACATGTACAACAGAGTAGATCATCAGAATGTAGTCATGTGTTAGCCAAGTGGTTTAAAACTGTTTTTACTATTTACAGAAAGCAAAAACTGATCTTGAGATGATTTTTCCCTCTGTTATTTCATCCAGTTTAGGTTTTGTAATTCTCTCTTTATACTTGTTTTAACACATCCACGTTTAAGCGGCCGCAACTTGTGCAAAGCGCTGCGAGGTTTTTAACAGGAGCGAACAGGCGAACACATAAAGTATCACACCAGTTATAAAATATAAAATACAGTTTAACGTCGTTGACTTTGAGGTAATGACGTGGCTCAAATGTGGAAGCGGCATTGATAATTTATTGAAATACTAAGAAATAAACAAGGGATCTTACATTTGTCATTTTGTTTTTCATGTCATTGCGTAGAAAAGCTTGATTTTTGAACTGCATGTTTTTGCCGATTCTCTTACTTTATCCAAAATTGTCACTGGATTGGTGAGTATGACTTTTGATTTTGATGATTCTCTCATTTATACTTAATTTGTTGAGATAATACCTATAAATGTTACTTATAGTTTTACACCAATCAAGAAGGTTTGTGAAATAAAAGTTTAAAAATACATTGAAGTAGAGAGTCTTATTTTAGAGTTTTCCATATTGCTGACATCACGCTGGGAAGAATTCTGTCCAATTTCTATTTATAAAACACATTTTTCTGACACTTTCAACACGATTTCAACAAAATAAATGTGTTTTCGTATCGTTTTGTAGGTCAAACAATAATCTTTGTGCACATTAGAGGAGTTTTGGCCTACTAAATAACGGCCAGATCGGGAAAGAAAGTGTCAAATGTTTTGCAAAATCGTAAATATAAAGATCTTAAAGGTTGTATAGAGGATTTTCCAAGGAACGAGAAATCCAGCGACTGTTTGTCCTTTTTCAAATGTTGCGCATGCGTGAAACCACCCCCCCCTCCCCTACAGCTCCTACGTAGAAACACCTCCTCCCTCCTCCTCCTTTACGCCAGAAACAGGTTTGTTTACAGCCGCTGCACATGACTTGTAAACAACTAACTACAGTGTTGGTTAGGCAAGACGGAGAAGTGAGGAGCGGGGGGAGGGGGGGCGCGGACATTTCATTCGCGGACGAGAAGTGAGGAGCAGGGAGAAGAGCGGAGCAGGGAGAGAGAGAGAGAGAGGAGAGGGAGCAGTGCGCGGAGATTCCGTGCCCGGAGAAGTGAGGAGCAGGAGGAAGAGTGGATCGGGCAGCGGGGAGAGGAGCAGGAAAGGGGTGCAGAGAAGAGTGCGCGGAGATTCAGTGCGAATGAACTAACTACAACACGCAGCAGCAAGCGGACTCTTTCTTTGCCTTGAAAATTACGTTTTCAGACATAGGATATCACATTCGTGTCCTGAAAAACGTTTGTCTAGCTCTTGGAAATAAAGTACGTTTTCATAATAAGCAGAAGTTTCCTGTCCAGGAGTAATTTGTGGACCAGTGCGTCAGTCTTTAGACCCTGCGTCTGCTTCAGTCGCGCCATCGCTGGAATGAATCTTCAAGAATCACCTTAGTTTGGCTTCGCTGCTTTTCCCCTTGTCTTCTTCTTTTCAGCGACCTCAAAAACGGACTTTCTTTTGCGGCGAACTGCTCCTGGATTCTTGTCGCCATTGCAACAAACTTTGTGCGAACTGCGAGGAAGATATAGGTAAAAAAAAAGCCGCTAAGAACTGTTGCGTTGGTGGAGTAAACAGCGTCTGTGCGTCTTGCGTCTGTGGACTGCGTGACAGTCGTACGTAAACCACGTAACGGCGGCGCAGGCAAGTCAGTTACACTAGAAACGTAGGGAGTTTGATTGACAGCCTGTCAGCTCACAGATAACGAGGCAGTGTCGTTATCTATTGGCAAATGTTTAGCCCCACCACGTCCAGAGTTGATGAATTTTTATTCTCTTTTTTTTTTTTCATCATAATTACAAGGCTACTGCATCTATAATCTATCACTGACAACTTGAAACAAAAAAAAATCCTCCATACAACCTTTAATTGTGTTTTAGTCAGATGTGTAGTCCAATTTGTCATAGGCACTTGATCTGTAGCAGAGTGAGTTTGCTTCAGGAGATCCTGGGAGAAAATTTAGGAAATTAATTTAGTGAGAAATGTAAGGGTTAATTGATAAAGATTAGTTTTGTTTTTTTTACAGAATCTGAAAACAGTCTAGTTTTTATTTTATTTTAGATACTGTATTTTTCGTATTTAGTTTTTTTTTTAACAAAGCAAGTGACAAATCCTACATCTGATAAGTTACATAATTCTCCTTTCTTTCTTTCTTTCTTTCTCAAAAGTTGCAAAGCGTTTGATTGTCGAATACTCGGGCGTGTGTGGTTAATCATTGTTTGTAGCGTTTCTGCGATGACGAAACTCTGCTCTGGCCTTTGAAAACCGTGAAAAGCTTTTACAAACCCACCGCCGTGAAGAATGAGGACGCTCTGAATGCTCGAGTGAAACCAACTACTTTTGTTTTTCATGGTTTTTTGTCTGCGCCTTTAATTTATCCGGCCAAGAAACACAATCGTGATCTTATATTGCAGTTTGTCCACATTCCAATCTCGACTCCACCGTGAGCGTGTGACCTGCTTTTACCTGCTGTTGTCTCGTTCAGCAAAGGCAGGTTTGATTTATTTATTGCCTTTTGATGGGCTTTATTTTTTAATCCTGAGCTTTGTTGCCAAGTCTGCGTCTTTACAACTTGGACTTCCTTTTTTTGAGGTAATACAAGCTGAAGGTTTTAAAGTTATTATTGAGTTAAAATATCCTAAACAGAGGTGGGACCGAGTCATTGTTTTGTAAGTCTCTGATCTCAAGTCCCAAGTCAAAGACAGGAAAGTCCACGTCGAGTCTCGAGTCACTGGCCCAGAAGTCCAAGTCGTCTGCGTTGAGCTTCAAGTCATTTCAAGTCTTTAAACCAAAAACAGAGGTTAGATTTTTGCAATTTATATGACTTTTAAACAAAATTATACTTAAAAAGTCATGGAATATTTATATATGAGTATTTATAGTTGTAGAAATGCTACTTTTTTCCTTTTCCTTTCGACAAGATCTGAGTGTGAATCGTTACGGTCAGAATAGAAAGAATACAGATTTAAAAGTGCTAAATTACAGTTATTTTGTCATGAAAGATCATGTTCTATGTAGTTCCCTCTGTTCTCCTGTGGTGCAGTTTAGTGTTTCAACTAGGGATGGGCATGATTAATCGATTAATCGATAATTGATCATTAAGAATTTCATCGATTACGTTAATTTTAATCGACAAACCGAATGTAGGTGTGTGTGTGTCGTGACCAAACAGGTGTGTACATGTGTCTCTGCATCAGAAGGAGCGAGACACAAACAGTGGGTCAGTCTGTAACGAACCGAAGCACAAATGTGGATTTAACGATGATTTGTACAAGAAATTCCACACTTTCCGTTGCGTTGGGACAAGTGTGAGTCCATGTGCACAGTGTATAAAGCAGCACATATGTTTCTGTGTCCAGTGGGAAAAAGTTTTTCCAGGTGAGAGTCGCTCAATGTGGATGACGAGGCCCCGCCCCCCTCCCCCCGTACGCTGTCCTGGTTTTGACAAACCAAATCTGGTCACACTAACCTGTATTCACCTGAGTCATGTCTTTTAATCCAACACAAGTTGAACCACATCAGCGACACAAGAGCTGGAGTTTTATCTTCGCTTAGTTTATGCAAATTAGTGATGCGGTTTTAAGTTTTGTTTCTGTGAGATTTGAACAAAACTGAATTAAACACATTATAATGTCAAACGGGCTGATGTGGCTCTAGAGTCGTTACGGTTTATATGTCGTAAAGTTTAATTTATTTATGCAGATTAGTAGTGCAGATAGTAATAATAATGATGATCATTTTAATATAAAAACGTTAATGATTAATCGATAATCGATCGTTAATTCTCCCGAAAAAGAGCGGGAACCCTGAACAGACGATACAAAATGCAAGAATAGATCCAATAAAGTCTAGGGCTGGGTATCATCATCACATTCTTCAATACACAGGTCACGATACGATACATGTCTCGATACAGCGAGCTTTCGATTCAATACAATATATTTCAAATCAATTCGATATGGTTCAATTAAAAAATATTTCTAAATCATGGCTGTGATACTAAAAGTCTTCGTGTTTCATCTTAACTTTGTACAAGAAATGGTTTAACAAATATTTTAATCATCAAAACTGTGAAAATATCAAATGTGTAGTACTCTAACGAAGTAATTTAGTAAAATATACAAAAAAAAAAAATACTCTTGGTGATATATTGATACAGCAGCTCACAATATCGATACTGTATCATCACATTAAACGATACGATATGTTGATGATGGTTTAGATCTGGTTTATACTCAGAAAGCCAAATCTTTTTTCTGGTGGTTCTTAGTTTAAGAGTCAGAATGAGGTCTAGAATATTCCACAGTGAAGAACCATCTCATTGTGAACCTTTAAGAGTTACGAATCAATCAATCATTTAGTTTAAAAAAAAACCAAACACACAAGTTCACGTTTTATTCTTTTTATTTGAAACACCGCAGAAAAGCTGACCCCAAACGACGCGTGGTCCCTTGGTTCACTTCCTCCTTCCTTTCATCTCGCAGACTTTCCCGTAGCAGGCGCAGGCGTAACACGTCAGGAACGTCATGAACTCCATGATGTCCATCTCGCCGTCGCCGTCGAAGTCCATGCTCTGCAGAATCTGGGTCACGTCCGGCTGGTTTTTTGCCTCCTGCACGTTGAACCCAAATGTTAGTAATATTTCTAGATACATTTTTGGGGTTTTTTTTGCCATTTTTCTAAACACAATATATCGAAAAAGTATTGACATCGCAGATTTTTCAGCCTGAAATCGAAAAATGCACTGTTTAAAAAGAAATAAAGTTTAATAAAGCGCAGTGTGTAACTTTTTTTTGGAGGGAGACGTTGTTGCTTTGCCTGAAATGTCCCACAGTACTGCATTAAACACGTGTAACTTGCATTTATTTAATGACTCGGGGTTTTATTGTCTTGAAAAACTCGCATTTTTACTGAGAGCGGGGTCGCTTATCCGCAGATCTGACCTGTAAACTGGCCCAGGAGTGTCACCTCCATGGAGACAAATGTTTAAAGTCATTCTATGGGACATTTCAGCAGAGAGGAGCCGCCGACTTTCCATCAGAAAAGTTCAATTTGGTCCAAAATTAGCCCTTAATTTGTGCAGGTTTTGAGATTATTCTTACAAATATGTAATTTTTTTTTAAATTCGGGTGCCAAAAAGTGCATTAAATTATATTATATTGCAGTTAAATGCTTTTTTTCTAATCCATCTTGTGTTTTGGATTGCTCAGTTGTGAAAAAATGCATGTAGAGTAAAAAATCTGTGATCTTTAAAAAAATATAATAATAAAAATGTCACAGTACCTCACACATGGGGCCCATCTGTTCCCGGATCAGCTCCTTCGCCTCCGCGACGGACAGTTTGGTCGGGTCGCCTCCTTTACTCGCATGTTTGTCAAAAACGCCCAGAATCGCAGCAACGGCCAGAGGCAGAGCGGGAGGGTTGGACTTGTCCATGGTGAAGAAGAGGATGGTGTGTGTGTGGACGACTTGCTTGGACTTATATATCTTCCAGAGGCGTGTCAGTGTTATGTATTTTTCCGTCTACGCCCTGTGCGCCAAACTGGTCTGAGCACATGGATGTGAACGGGTTTGGCCGCCGCAAACGCCTCCGCCCCACCCACTTCGAAACGGTTATTGTTGCGTGTTCTCCCTGCGTCTTCTACATCAGTGTTTCATATTTTAAAAGTTAAACCTTCGCGATTATCAATAGACATTATTCATAAATCAAAAAATAAAGGTGGATTTGAGCATTATTGAACATTCAGGAGGATATTTTATTGTTGACTGAGTGATCGTGTTGCTCTGAACAATTAGTATTACTCAAGTTTTAAACAATGAAAAACAGTCACTGAAGCAGAAACAAAAGGATCAACAAGAAATACTGGAACAAAACAGTCAATAAAATAATTACAAAAAGATTTGAAATGATACAAAACATTTCAACATTTCTAATGACATAGATGATTCCAGTGCAGGTGCAGGAGGAGGCGCAGCAGCAGATCAGGCGCAGCAGTGTTCAGTCTGTTTCTGGGCTTTGGCTTGATTTTTGTGAGCACAGAAAATCTCATGTGTCAGAAGTGAATGTAGCTGCAGAGGATTTCAACAGGTGAGGGAGGCACCAGAGAGAAACTGAGGAGGCGTGACACACACTGACCAAACCAGGACTAAGCCAGAACTGAACCAGGACTGAACCAGGACTAAGCCAGAACTGAACAAGGACTGAACCAGGACTAAGCCAGAACTGAACCAGGACTGAACCAGGACTTAAGGAACTGAACAGGACTGAACCAGAACTGAAACCAGGACTGAACAGACTGAACCAGGACTGAACCAGGACTAAGCCAGAACTGAACCAGGACTGAACCAGGAGTGAACCAGGACTGAACAAGGACTGAACAGGACTGAACCAGGACTAAACCAGACTAAGCCAGAACTGAACCAGGACTGACCACTGAACAGGACTGAACCAGGACTGTACCAGGACTGAACCAGGACTAAGCAGGACACCAGGACTGAACAGGACAGGAACTGAACCAGGACTGAACAGGACAGGACTGAACCAGGACTGAACCAGGACTAAGCCAGAACTGAACCAGGACTGAACCAGGACTGAACCAGGACTGAACCAGGACTGAACCAGGACTGAACCAGGACTGTACCAGGAGTGAACCAGGACTGAACCAGGACTGAACCAACAGGACTGAACCAGAAGCCAGACTGACTGAACCAGGACTAAGCCAGAACTGAACCAGGACTAACCAGGACTGAACCAGGACTGAACTGAACCAGGACTGAACCAGGACTAAGCCAGACTGAACCAGGACTGAACCAGGAGGAACCAGGACTGAACCAGGACTGTACCAGGACTAAACCAGGACTAAGCCAGAACTGAACCAGGACTGAACCAGAACTGAACCGGGACTGACTGTCGGGACGGGCCCGGAGGTGCGCCCGTGTAGACTGTCGGGCAAAAGGACCGGCACAGAGCTTCGCGCCCCACAGAGCTCAGCTCAGCCGTCACCCGATCACACTTTGCAGACACTCTGCTCCACGGCCTCGGGTTCTCTCTCTCAAGTCCAAGATTAGTCCTGGTTTAGTCCTGGTTTAGACCTGGTCTAGATCTACTGACCTTCTGATGTTCAGTGATGTTAAAAGTCGCCTCAGTTAGGCTCATATGAAGTTGGAAATGATTTGCTGTTGCCAAAATTTTTTATGAATGAACTTTTAAAAAAATATGAAAATACAATATTAAAAAAAAAATATGATCAGTTGTTAATGAAAGTCATCACTGCAGGAACACAAAAGATGCATTTACTTCAGAGGCCTGTGTGTGTGTGTGTGTGTGTGTGTCATCGTGACAAGACAACCCAAAAAAATCATGACCCAGTCTTTAGGAAACACTGCCCTAGAGCACTCATACCTGTTTGTCTCGCTCTGTGTTCAGCAGATGCAGAAACATCATCTTTAGTGGTGCCATGCGGTGTTTGCACGTTCTCCCTGTGTCTGAATAAGTCTTCTTTTATTAAATGTTTTCCAGTTACACCATCAACCAGTCCAAGGCTACGTTCAGACTGCAGGGCTTAACGCTCAATTCCGATTTTTTTGTGAAATCCGATGTTTTTTCGAGGTCGTTCACATTTCCAATTAAATGCGACTTGTCTGTGACTCCAGTGTGAACGGTAAACGGCCCGAAAGTGTCCCACATGTGACTGGAGACACGACGACGTCAACCCCATGCGTCAACCGCAGCGAGCGTCTCTGTGTTTACGGAAGTTGTCCAAACATGGACGCGAGCATTGAGCACCTGGAGATTTTACAGTTCCGGTTTCCGCCTGCTTCAGCGCAGAATAGTGACGTTTGTCGCTTGTTGATAACGTGTAGGTGGATGAATGCGCTTTGGTCGTTCAGACTGAAGTCACATGTCAAAAGATCAGATATGTATCAGTTTCAGGAGCAAATGTCCAAGTGTCCTGGGTCGCATTTGAAAAAATCGGATCTGTGCCATTCAGACTGTCATTAAAAGATCAGATACAGGAACATAGGGGCCAAAAAATCGGATTTGGGTCACTTCATAGTCCAATGAGATTCATTTGGTCTTCCAATATTCTATGTTATTAGGTTCTTTTTTTCAGCCCTAGAGTGTTATTTCATACCTGACAGTTTCGACTGCTCACTAGCGTCTTCCTCAGAGTCACGTGATGTTGGGTCACTTCAGGCTGCAGTCTGAACGCAGCCCAAGAGTACCTCAGGACGTGGAGCTGGGTCCTCGGGCGCTGTGCTGTGGTCACATGGTTCCTGCCATGTTCCCCAGCTGCACTGCCAGATAACAGAGAGCAAATTTCATCACAGGGAGAATAATAATAATCCTGGTAACTTCATCTGTGACACTCCCCAAACATTTTAGAGCAAAACTACTATAGAATTTACTTATGTTGTGAATTAATAAACTCCTGAGAATTGCCTCGTACAGTCAAATCCACTTGCCTGGGATCCAGAATTCATCTTCATAAAGTCCTGAAGAAGCCTGAGAGTCTGGTCACTGGTGAATCTCCTGGTTTGATTGACAAAATTTTAAAAAATCACATGAGGCTGAAAATCACTGTGGACTTGTGCAGAATCAGTGAGTCAAGCACAAAACTCTGTTCATCTAAAGTGAGAGAAATGTCATTTGTAAACGACAGGTGGCAATCATTTCATGGGGATTTACTGTTCTGCTTTAAAAATACAAAGAGATCATCTGGATTTGCACAAATCTGTAGGTGGAGCAGAACAACTGAACCAATCATAGGACAGAAGCTAAAGGTGAACCACCCAGAAGAACCAAAACAAACAAAGCAACACCCAAGGACACACACAGGCCTAATAGTCTGTAATGTTTACTGAGCATCAAAAAGAGTGTGGAGGTGGAGGTGGTGTTGGGTCCAGCGCGGTGCCCATGTGAGGCCCATGTGAGGCCCATGTGGAGGCACTGGGGCTGAGACAGACTGAGGTTCACTGCAGCCTGGAGAAACTCTGTTAGACCCAACAGACACAGGCTCTATAACAGTGTTTCCCAAACTTTTGTCTGGGGACCATATATTAAAAGTCACAAACCTTCGCGACCCAAGTCAACAGACATTATTCATAAATCACAAAATAAAGGTGGATTTGACCATTACTGAACATTAATGAGGAGATTTTATTGTTGACTGAATGATTGTGTTTCTCTGAAAAATTAGTTTTACTCAAGTTTGAAACAATGAAAAACAGTGATTGAAGCAGCAATAAAAGGATCTATAAGTCGCCTATTTGGACATTAAATGTAGAACATTTCTTTTTTCTTTTCAACATTCAGCAATATTGGAACAAAATGGTCAATAAAATAATTACAAAAAGATTAGACATGTCATACATTTCAACATGTGACGCAAATCTATTACTGAAATCTTTTGTAAGTTGATGAACTCTTTCTTTTACAAAATATTATAATATTATGAACAACCTGAAACTTTAAGAAAAATGCAATTTCAACACAAGGTTTTAACATGAACTTGTATGTAAATAGGAATAAGTAAATTTTTACTTGTAAAATCCTGCACTCGGCTCCACTTTTCTCATGTTGGACATTTTTCTGATGAGGGTGTCACGGTCAACAGTCAAAACGATCGTCCTTTAAGAGCGTTTGGAAAGAGACAAGTCTTCATTTGTGCTGCTCTGGTGGGAGGGGCCACGTACAGAGACGCTGGAGAGACTGATATGCTCAGCACCGCAGAAAATTAACAAGATTTTAATAGAAAATTTGATTTAAATATTTTAGTAGAAAATCAAGGTCTTGGAGGTCCTGGGCCTTATGTTTCACACCCCTGGTTTAGACGGTGACGGTGTTTCTGGGGCTTAAAAACGCAAAAATCTGAAACTACCCTCCAGAGTGGAAAAGTTGAATTTGCTCCGCTGTAGTGTTTCCATTTACGCTGCCCAAGACGCAAAACTCTGTTCAGATCTGTTCAGGTCGCGTACACGTTTACATCACATACATACAGTACACAGAACCCTGGCATGCACACACAATCGAATTCCACACACCGTATGCACGCAGATTTCCTCCCGAAAACACTTGTCTAAACGCAAAATAAAAAGTGAAGACATGACGCCACTTTTGCGTCTTCTGTTCAGACCGTCGTCATATAAACGTGTCCTGAGGCCCAGTGTCATCGCAGCGTCGTACCAGAATCAACAAGCTCAATCAGACACATCAACCTGGTCCCATGAGGCGTCGGTGGGTCGGTTCATCAGCACAGAAACAGTTTATGAGGAGTCCAGCCCATATCACATGATCATTATATCCACAATGTAAAGTGTGTATGTGTACAGGCCCGTGAACATTTGTGTGATGTTGGTCACACATGAGAATATCTGTGTTTACTAGTGTGGAACCAAAATGTCATTTTTCATGAGTTTTGTGTCTGTTAGTTGTGTGACTGTAGATTATTATCGTTCCAATTAGAATTTTAGGAGCTGTT